TCCTTCTGCATCCAATCGACTACTGCATAGGAAGTTTTTTCATCCATATTTTCGATATCTCTTCGTTGTGTCAAATTTTGTTGGGCACTTCGGTTTAGGTGTCTCATTTGCTCTATTATGGCATCTCCCGAATATTTAAAGTCGTACAACAATTCACCTTTTGCCTCTCGATCGTTCACAGAATCAATGCTGACGGCGATGTCGTCAAATAATTGGGCTAATTTTGTGCAATCCTGACACTTTTGATCATGTTTGTGGTCACATGTTGATGCGTAATCTTTGGAACCTTTTTGACTCAGACCATACGTAGTACAGTGAGTGATGCAGTGACTTTGTTTATGGCTTATAGCGAAATGTTTTAGGACGAAAATGCTACTTAATGGCCCTTCTCCTTTATATTGGTTCAGATAAAAACAAAAATAAAAGAAAACAAACTTAAACAATGAATTAATTTCAAAATTGATTTTTAAATATAAAGTATCCAACTGCACATTCAAATAATTTTTTCAAAATTGATTTATTATTAAAAGAAAAATCTTTGTGTATTTGCGTTTGTTTTTTTTGTTATTGTTTATATTTTTCTTTGGTTTATTATCTCATTTTTCAGACAAAAAAAAAAACTAGACAATTTTTCAATATTTTATAATATCTTTCGTTCTTTTTTTTACTATATGTTTAAATAAGAATATAAACCTAAACAGAGGATATTTTTTATACTAACATTTAATTTGTTGATGAATGATAAAATTCGATTTTATAAAGTAGTTTTTTAGTCTAGATTGATATTTCATAAATAAATAAGAAAAACATTTTCTTTATAAACACATTCATATTCATAACTGATGTAAATATATGGATTATATTACACTATTTGATTGTTTATTCTATACGATATTTGGTAAAATATTATCTTATATTTCGAGTTGTGATAATATTAGTATTTTAATAGGCAATGGTCATGGAACACTTCAAAAACAAGTAACATATTTCACTGGTATACGTTCACAACCATACAGTATTATTATGGAAAGTTATTTTAGTTTAGTTTAAACTTTATTCGTTTAAGAAAGAGAAATAAGAATAGTCATTCTACACAGATGCGGTCTAGACCATTATATTGGAAAATGACATATCAAATGGTATAAGCGATTGCGGATAAAACGGTTTTCTCCTTGTTCTTAAAATGTCTAGTAGACATACAAAAACTACTGTTAGTTAGTTTCTTTTCGTTAAGAGATCATTCCGACCTTCACTGTGATCAATCTTTCTCTTGGTCTCCGCTCTCTTTTTGTTCTCCACAAAAAGCGTCCATCCCTGCAGTGAATGCAGGTAAAATCTTCTCTCCTTCAGGGAGTACAGGCAGGAAAACATTCTTCTATGTCTGCCAGCCGTCAGTGGAAAATTTTTTCATTCACCTGCAAACTGCAACCTGTCTGCACTACCGGCAGCTTGCAGGCAGTTTAACATGCAGGTAATCAGCTCTGTTCGGTATCATAGCGACCATCTTAATCTTGAAAGCTGAGTAAGAGCTGATTTCTAAGGGCTTAACATTTTTAAAACATTTCTATCAGTACGGATCTCAATTCTTTTGGTAGAGATTTATGCACGGACGTTAAAAGAAACCTACTCTTAGTTTTTGGATTTTGTTCGGATTTATCGTCTGTGATGAGTTTTACTTGTTTCTACATTCCCAAGTCTCATAAGCGAAAAGCATGCACAAGGATTACAAAATATGCTAAACATACATTGTTTCCCCCACAATACACAGTCATCATTAAGGGCTCCCCCTCAGAAAAAAACTTTTTTATCTTACATCCGATAATGATGCCACTTTCAGCAAATGTTTGCCATATCAAAGTGTGGTTATGGAATTTTTTTTCCTCGCTATCTCTTACCGTTCCGGGGTTTTCCAGTGTCCAAGGTCAAAAACCCACCATCCACTATGGGGCACTTTTTTTAAATATAGTTCAAGCTAGAGATCTCTGATTGGTTTTATTTTAAACTAGACACCTAACTACGTGTTTTGAGAGAAACCTCTGCGCATTCGTTGGTCTGTTTTAGGACATGTAGCAAAATGCTTGTAATTTTTGAACGCAAGATCATACAGAGTTGTGCAACGTCTTATTCTGATCCGAAAAGTCTGCCATACAAATCCTCGTATTCAGAAAACGTTTACTTGCGTAAGTGTCCAGAAAAAAAGTATTATTTAAAGACCCTAGTTTCTAAGACTTCCAGAAAACTTGCTCGAAAACCACGAAAAACCAGTTCTAGGCCCGAAGCAATACAGATTCCGAAAGTAGACACTCTAGGCTATCTTTTCATGTGCTTGTCTGCAAATTGATTTTTTGATACAAAAAGATTTCTTTCTGAGGGGGAGGAGGGGCGGCCTTAATTGCGAAGGACAAGAAAGGCAGTTTAACAATATCACAGACAACACTGTAAATAGTTTCCTCAAAGATCTAAAAGACTTGGGTCTTGATGAGCATATGGAACATAAAGAATGTAAATACGATCAGACATTTTTTTTACATAGACCTATTTGAATTCAGGAAGAATGTACGTAAAGTAGAAGTTTCGGTATCTTGTTTGAATAACAAGTGTTGTATTCACTCTCAACTGTTTGATATACGATTGGTTCAGCATGGCATCATTAAACACCTTAATAGTATTAATACTTAATTACAATAGAGCTAAATTATAAGAGAACTGATCGGCTGGAAGCGCTAATATATCTTTGACAAGATGAACCAGACTTCTATTTTTGTCAACGGTGAAGTTGAATACCATGTTCAGTTTCAAGGATAATATTTATTCTATTAACTATAATTCATTAGGTTTATTTTAAATAATGGATAATAAATGTAGTCCAATGTACTTCTACTTGCTTGAATGATACGCATTCATCAGTAGCAATGTCAACATCAGTCAGCTACGTTATTTCAGCGCTAAATTACTCAACATCACAAGTAAATCGTTATTTTTCACTGTTTATTATTTTGTCTGGTACGATTGGCAATGTTCTAAATTTATTTGTGTTTTCTCAACATTCACTGCGAAATAATCCCTGCGCAGTTTATTTTTTTTCATCATCAATATCAGCTTTACTTTGTCTTTATTCTTCTGTTATGTCACGAATTTTATTGGGCTTTGGGACAGATCCATCGACAACTTCAACATCTTTGTGCAAGTTAAGAATATATATCGTCTTTGCTTTAGGTACAATATCAGTATGGTGTATTGCATTCGCAGCAGTTGATCGATATTTCTGCAGCTGTCAAAGTGTATATCTAAGAAATTTAAGCAGTTTAAAAGTGAGTTATCGCGTTGTTGCAGCAACAACAGCGACATCATTACTCATATATGCCGAAATGTTTTATTGTTATGAAGCAAATCAAATTACGGGACCTTTTCTCTGTAACGGAAAAGATAGTCCTTGTCGATATTTCAATAGTCTTATCTATACGCTCTTCTTTATTGTATTACCATTAATGGTTATGGTGGTGTTTGGGATCTTAACACTAAGTAATGTGAGAAAATTAAATCGTTTAGTTGCCCCGGCCAGTAGTACTACTAGGGGTAGCACAACCCTAGCACGAACAGTACGATCGAAAAAGAGTGATAAACAACTAACGAAAATGTTACTTGTTCAGGTTCTGATATCAACAATATTAACCGTTCCATATAGTATTCAATATTTATATTTAACATTTTCAGTGGGTATTTATAAAAGTCCATTACAAGTAGCAGCAGAAAATTTGTGTTTTGCTTTAATACTTAATTTATTTTACTGGGGTTTTGGTATGTCGTTTTATATTTATACATTAACCGGGCATATATTTAGAAAAGAATTGAAACGTTTAATGAAAACAGTTTATGAAAACGTATTACACCTAACTCACCGAAACTAATGACAGACACAAACAGAATATTCTTGATTAACGCTTCGAAAATAGTCGTATACCAAGAAAACAGGACAACATAAAACTTTTATCTATCTCGATTTTAATCATTTTTATAAGCGAGACATTAACATGTGGCAATCAGTTTTAGACAGATGACCGCACTTGAACAGTGGGTACTTCCGTCAAGAATCTGCCCCGTTTACAGAACTTATTTCGGAACAGGTTCAAATTCTAAGGTTTGCAGCTTACATAGACAATATTATTCCTAAAAGAAATTGAGAAATCTATTGGCATCACAGGTTTCTAGAGTCCACAAGGACGACACTCGAATCATTTGATGACAAACTCGATATTTTTGTGCTACCACTTTGCTGTTGAGTATTCAAACAGCTATTCTACATCCCGCACTCCAGCGGTTCATACGAGTGGTACGGGATATGAGTATGAGCTAAACTGCCTCCTTTTTCTTCCCAAACGTTCTCTCTTCTTATTTTCATGCTGAAGGGACGTTTTTAAAAAAAACAAAGACGAACTAGTTGTTTTGCCATCCCTCGAAACGAACTATCAAAGGGTAAGAGTTTCCGTTTTATTTGTGTGTGGTACCAGTACAAACTTTAACGGTAATAATATTTTCATTCAGAACATTCTGTATATGCTTTCTGCTCTTCTAAACGACACAAAATATCTTCTCTTCCTCTTCCTATTCAAATCACAGTTACCTGAATTAGTTAGTCTTTACAGTTATATAAATCAGTAACAATAATCTTTACTCAGAATGTTTCTCTTTGAAGTAAAAGGAAATGTGAGATCATCATCTGAGTCTTTGTTTTACTTTCTAATAAAACCTCTCACAGTTACACGTATCTACTTAATAAATACGATTCACCCTACTGTTTTCTTGTGCTTCAGTTTCAGTTTAATCTTCTAGTCTTATTCATTCGTGTTGTTAAAGCTCTAGTATTTGTTCTGCTCTTTTGCTATGCTACTTGTCACTACTACTACCTGTCAAGTCTGCTATTCCACTTCTACTATTCCACTATTCTGGCATTCTATTCATACTGCTCTGCTATTCTACTTTTTGTGTGAATTTAATGAATATTTTTAGTTTCGATTTTGTGCTGTGGAAATTGAGTTGTAGGCCGACAAGATGTGCACCGAGAGTCTCTTTTCTTCGACGCGATAGCGTCATATAATTTCCTGACAAAGTATCAGCACGTGTCGGATTCGATTCTTCCTCTTAACGCAAACAGTATAATGGCAAAACTAGATGAAAATTCAAAAAGTCCTCTCTCTCCTCGAAAGTTTGCCTTACTTGTTAATATGATGAGCACTTCTTCCTTCTACAATCATTTTCTCTTCATTCGCATTTCAACGCATACGTACAGTTCCCTTGACACTCATACAAATTGATCATAGTCCGTCCTTTTTCTGTCTCTCTGACGTTTTATCTGTGCAGTAGGCGACAGCAGAGTTTGTGAGTGTGATGTAGTTTTTTCTTTTCTTTTTATGTTATTCATCTTTATTATTTCATTTTGATATACAACACATAACATTATTGCTTTGACTTATCTCTGACTATAGCTCTCGGAAAACATCTGTCAACGCGGGGTGAATGCAAATGAGATATTAATGAGCCATTAACGGCCAATTAATGATGTAACAGAAGGATGATCAATTAATGGTAGAAAAATGGCCTAGGTATGATCTCAGTTATTGGTCATTTTAGAGGGTAATTTTGATTAAAAAGTTGTGAGTTATCGAGATATTATGCTAAACGTGCTGAAATATCTCGATGATGAGCGACTCTATCGCAATATAAAAGTTATGGCACTTTATCTCAGCCTGTCGATAAAACAAAATAGAAGAAACTATCAAGATCTGCAAAACTGCCGTCCAATAACTGCCAGTAAACGGAAAAGCCAAAAAACAGCTAGTTAACTGTAATGTTAACGGCCCATTTATTTGTTAGCTATACCGTTTACTGACCGTTTTTACACAGAAACTTTTTAAGACCTAAAAACGGCTAATAACCCAGACAGTTTTTAAATGTGTTTTAGACAGTTAACAGCTTGTAAACTGGCAGTTTTCACACCATTTGTGATATAGAGGAATTCAATAGAAAATTACTTCGGCTTTCGGCAACAAACGGTGTTGATACAATTCACTGTAATTTTCAAAAAAATATGTTAAATATTAGAAAAATTCATTTGACTGAAAATGGGGCAAGAACTTTGTCAAATGCAATAGATGATTATCTAAAAACTTTTAAATTTCTGAGAATCCAAGCGTGAATGTTTTCTTCCCATATGGCAAACGTCACCTTATTGCTAAAAGTCACAGACCAGGGCTGAGCAACTCCGCTGACTTTCAACTCCAACTCCACTTCAACTCTTTTTTCAAATTTCCAACTCGGCTCAAAAGTTTTCAACTCCAACTTCAACTCTCTCAACAAAAATTTCAACTCCTGTTCAACTTCGGTTGCTTTACTTTTGTAAGGAAGATTTTTCGGTTTTTAGCAGCATTCTGGACGTTTCTGAGCTTTTTCTAGCAGGAAAGCGCAAAGAACGTCCGAATTCACTCGTAAATACAGCCATTCAGTCGTTTAGAAAATAAAAAAACACAAATATTTCCAAAAATTCAAAACGGAGTTGAGAATAAAAATTCAAAAACCCAACTCCAGCCTACTAAAATCTCAATTCCAACTCCGCCAAGGTCAACTCCAACTTCACCAAAAAACTCCTCAACTCCAGAGTTGGAGGTGCCCAGCCCTGCACAGACGAATGAAAAAACATCAGTCCGAGGAAAACATGGCATACTACACCGAGTTACACTTCTCATTAGTTCTCTTGCTCTATTTCGGTATTAAAACAAAAACACAGAAAGAAGTTTACCGCTCCAAGCTGGGCAAGTCAAGCCGTTGACCCGGGAAATTTTTTATGACTCGTGACTTGACTTGACCTGACTTGAAAATTTTTTTAAAAGACTTGACTTGACTTGTGACTTGGCATAAAAAGTCAATGCATGAATATTTTTAAACCACTTATGCAATCTAATTTTAAATAATAATTCATAATGATTTCGGAATGTTGATGTTATAATATGTAAGAATTTACGCACAGTAACAAGACGCGCATTTTGCAACCGCATAGCAAGTCTGTGTTCTAGTACCAAGGAATGGAGACTCTCGTATGCCGTTTTCTCGAGTATGCTGAATATGAAAAACACTTTTCCGTGGCTCTAAATAAACTTTATTTTTCTGTTGATGATATGAAATAATATCACATTACTAAGACTCACACATAGGACCTATGGCTACTTCTGCGGACTCTTCGATTAACTAAACTATTCATCCGAAAGAGCAGTCATGCACCGATTATAACCGGATACAATTTCGGGCTTTTTGGCAAAAGAACTTTCTGAATAAAACTGATTTTCTAAATTTTTGCATCAACGAAGTTTTGTAGAGCAAACATTTTGCTACAAAAAGGGCTATGCAGGTGTTGTTCATCTTGATCCAATGCTTATAGAAAATGTATTTCGGTATGATCAGTTATAAACGGTTTAGGGCTCTTCGTCAAAAATCAACTACGGCAAAAATAACAAAACATGAAGTTTTCTGCCGCAAGCGATCCTGTGATAGCCTATGATAAGATATGGTGAGGATTCACGTCTATGATAGTATTGGTAACGTGTTCCGTTACTTCGTTACTATTATCCATCCTAAAATATAGTTGTAGTTGTTTTTTGAATAACTCAAAGATGATAAAACATAGAAACTTGCGGTTTTCACCATTCGATAGCTAAGACTTTAAAACATCTTCCCATAACCAAAACTTTTTTGAGATCAGTTTTCGAAAATGAGTTCTCTAGAAAGCCGTTTCATTGCCCGAAACTTAGCATAGCAATATATTAGTTTTTTTCATGGAAATGTAGTTTCAAAAGAGGAGTTAAGTGAGACCTTCATTTTCAGCGGTTCACGCATGACATCGGTTTTCCTTCGAGCCGCAGAACTGGTATCGGATGACTTCAGGTAGTCTTGAAGTTGCATAGAACATACGTAATCGACCATGCTGAGTTTGGTAGCACTGTTTATGTTTAGTTAAGAGCTCAAAAACAAGGTGAAAATCGCGTTTTATGAGCATTGGGGTTACCATGCTATTTTCACCTAATATTAAAAATTCACAGCTCACTCAGAAAACATCAGGACGAGTTGGAAACTACAGGATAATATGAGTTTTATCCGTCTAACGTGTATTATTTATACCCTGCTTTCTGTCGTCGTTTTATCTTTTTCTTATCTTCGTTCTTTGGATTACAATAAATGTAATAAAATTCAAATGTCTTCTTTTTTGTTGGTTTGTGTTTGAATACGGAAGTCCATGACGAAGATGAGAAATCGCCAAATGATTTGCTGGATATCTATGAGAAATATGCATTTCTAGTGGTTGACTCTCGTCTTAAGGAGAAAGAAAATTTCTTAGTTTACCAGTCCGGGTTGAATGGAGTGAGTAAATTCGTTGAGCGAACCATTCATATCATCTTTGTTCTATGAAGTAGAAGACATCTTGCTTCACAGAGACGAATGAATGAACTGTACAACAAAAATTACCGCCATATTACAATTTATTCGAGTAACAACAGGTTTAACGACATCAATTATGGGCTGAATGCAACTTTCGCTAACGAGGGAAGGTCCCCACGTGTTTCCCTGGGATTTCAAAGCAATGTATCCCACTTTGCTAATTTAAGGATGCTGACGTTCAATCCTTCAAGAGTTATAAGCATTTTATTTTAATAGTAGGAAAAAGTACCATATTTTGAAAAAATCACAGTTTTTCATAGAAATGTTCAATAGAACTGAGAGATATGCCATTCTACAGATAAACACTTTATCTATAAAATGATATGTGTTTTAGCTTGGTTGTCACCACGACTGCCATGATGCAACAGAATGTAATCTTGTGATAATATATGGCAAATTTATCTAAACATATTCAAAAAGAAAC